AGCGCCGCCCACTCGGCCGCGCGCTCCCGCAGCTTCCTGTGCCGCGGTGCGCCGGAGTGCGGAGGCTGCGAGACCCACGCCTCCCCGCCCGAGGGTGCGCGTCGGAGAGGTCGGGCCGAGCGGGGCTCTCCAGCGAGGGCCGGGACGCCTTTCCCACAGCTCGAGACCTCGGACACACCTGGGCCGCCCGGCCCCGCCGCCCCACGCCCGTGTGCCTTGGTGCCCCGCGGTCCACACCGCGGGCCCGGAGGACTGGGCCTGGGCGCTATGGGATGGCTCATGTTCCCCCACTCCTGGAGCTTTACTTCCCCCGGGCTGTCACATCAGCGGGTGCTCCGCAGCCTTCCCCGAGCTCAGCCCTGTCCTCTCCGCGTCCCCTCCTGCGTCTCTGCCGAGATGGGCCCGGCCTGACCGCCCGCGCTGCTCTGGATGACCGCATTTGTTTGCTTTCCCCCATTCTCCGTGTCTCCTTCTCCCTCTTTCTGCCTGCAGATGTTGCGCTGATCGGCGCTCTGCTGCTGACTCCCGCGGGCCGCGTTGGCCTCTGTGTGTCATCCCGCATCCGAGCCGAGGTTCCCTGTTGTCTGTTCTCCACGCGTTCCACTGTTTCCGGATTATGTTCCGGAACCGAAGCCGCTTAGACACGTCTGTGGGCTTGGAGCAGCTCAGAGGGTAACCTTTAATCTCTGCAGTTGGGTTTAGAAAATTTGACGATCTGCTTGTATGATCGCTTGCTAGGGCTGTCCTGACAAACTCCCACTGGCCAGGGGGCTTGATCGGTATAGAAACGAATCTTCTCGAAGCGTGTTGGTTTCTTCTGAGAAACTTCTCTCCTCTTGGCTTGTATGTCCTGGCTTCCCCTCATGTGGTTTTCTAATCTCCTGTGGGAGCACCAGTTACACTGGATTAGAGACCATTCCAAGGATCTCATTTAATTTCCTTGCCTTTTAAAAGACAAGTCCAAGTAGAGTACTAGTCTGAGGTACAGAATTAGGGGCTAGGATTTTAAGCTGAGTTTTTGGGAAGACGCAAATCAGCCCATAACAGCTCCTAAGGTACGTTCCTAGCATGATTTCCCATGCTGTATATCTATCTACCCGTGCGGTATTATCTCTTGGTTCCTATGAACTCACAACATGCAGCTCGTATTCATCAATTTACCTATCACCTGATCCTGCCATTTATCCAGGTAACTGTCCTTTACCAAACTGCGAGCTTCTCAAAAGCAGGGCTGGCCGTGGGTCCAGAGCACGGCCCGGCTCGTTCTGTAGACGTTTCCTGATACACCCAACTAGGAGTCAGGCTTGGGAAGCGGAGGGTGATACAGCTTTTGGCCTTAAGAGGAGACAGATCAAAGAAGGATAAAATCATGGAGATAGGGGTGCTAATGCCTGTCATCCAAAAGACTGCAGAGGGGGGCTGGGGCTTTAGCTCAGTGGCACAGCACCTGCCTGGTAAGCGCAAGGTCGTGAGTTTGATTCCTGGTACCGGAAGAAAAACAAAAACAAAAACCATCCGCCCCCCCGAAAAGACTGTGGAAGATGGTGGGACAGCACCCCCTGCACTGCATTGTCAAAGCATCCTGGGTGATCCAGGACGGGAGGAGAGCTGGGTATGAACAAAGCACTGATCCGAGCCCAACCCTGAAGATCTCCACTGTCACTCATAATACTTACTGAAAACACCTCCGATCTTAAGACACTCTAATCTTATTGGTTGAAGAACTCCAGGACTCCTGGATCCTGGATCTTTTCAGAGGATTTGGGGGTACCCTCAGTTTGAGGAGCATCAGTGTATTCCAAATTCCCCCCATAGTCCCTGCTTCACTGTCCCATGATCTGGGATCCAAGACCTAGAGGAAACTTCGGTGGAGTCAGACTGATTCCTGGGCTCGGACCTGCAGTGGTCATTCCTTTCAGGGACCCTGGAGGCAGGTGGCTGGGCTTTAGTGCTTGCGTTCCACTTCCTGCCGCAGGATGTCAGGCATGTTTCTTCTTTCACTGTTGCTTGTAAAGATGGAAATAATGATAGTGCCCATCTCCTAGTGTTCTGAGGATTAGGACTTGATATATATAAGTGCCTTAGTCCATCTGTACAGATTATTTTAGAAACAACATTCTTTCCTCATAGTTCTGGAATCTGTAATGTCCAAGGTCATGATGCCAGCAGATGTGGTGTCTGGTGAAAGCCCACCTTCTGGTGCAGATAGCACCTGTGAGCTGGGTCCTCACAGGGTGGAAGGGACTGAAAAGTTCCATTATGGTTTGGGTCTTACAAGTCCTACAAAGGCTCATGTGTTGAAGACTTGGTTGCTGGTCTATGGTGCCATTGGGAAGGGGTGGAACTTTTAGGACTTGGTTGCCGGTCTGTGGTGGAACTTTTAGGAAGTGGGACCTGGTGGGAGGAAGTTTGCTCATGCAGGTGCACGTGCGTGAAGGGGATGTGGAAGGGGCAGCCTCTTCTTTCTGCTCTCCAGCCACTGCGTGCTGAGCAGCTTTGCTCCACCCGTGTTCCCCCACCCCCACTCCTTGATGCTGTGCTTCATCTCGAGCTCAGCAGCAGTGCAGTCAAGGGACATGGGTTGAAGCCTGAGACCATGCACCCAAATAAGTTTTTCTTCCTTTTAACTGGACTTACTCAGACATTTTGTTATTGCAGTGGAAAGCTGGCTAACACAAGCTACTTTGGGCCTTTTGAAAATAAGAACCTTAGTTCCTTCTATGACAGCTTCATCCCCACAACATAAGTACTTCCCGAAGGTGCTACCTTCTAATACCTTCACTGTGGGTGTTACAGATCAAATGCATCAAGTCTGGGCAAACACAGACATTCAGACTACATCAGTGAGGCTTCGAGAACCCTGCCTGGAATGTCGTACATGCTAGTAGTATTAGGGGTGTGTTGATTCTTATACTTCATTGTTATAACTGCTTATTTGGATATCTTTATTCCAATTATACTATGAACTTCTTGAGGACAGGTGCTCCATGCCCAGCACAAGACAGGGTACTTCCTGAGCACCTACTATGTATCAAATACAACACTAGAAGTGAGAGGAAGCCATGAAGCAGGTACAAAGCCTGGCCTTCATGGAGGAGGGCTCAGCTTCCACAGGGATTTATCAAGTGAACGAAGACTCTGACCCTGCCGTCATCTTCACCTGCAAGGCAGGACCTTTGCCTGAAACTGGGATCTCCTGACTCTTCAGGCTGGGGATATAGCTCAGAAAAAGGGTGGGGATATAGCTTAGTGGCACAAGCGCCTGCCTGGCAAGCACAAGGTGCTGAGTTCGATTACTGGTACCAAAAAAAAAAAAAAATTCACTCTTCAACTCCTTAAAGTTTTACAGCCGGCCACTTCTCCTCTGAGTCCAGGAGCCTTCTGCAGGTCTTATGCCCTCAGGAACCTACTATAAAGTCACTGATCAAGATACTATTTTAAATGTTGGGATATTTTCCCCCAGCAGTGATTTTGCTCCTCGCAATTCAGGAAGATTTCTTGATTGCAGATTCAGCTTTGCATTGCCATTTCTTGCTTGCTGTTAGCGTTTTGCTAAGTAGTCTGTTGTCCAGAGACAAAGGGAGGAGAGAACTGACGGAAAAACAGATACATCAAGGAATAATACTGGAATTAGCAAATCAGTTCATTTAATGTCTATTTACTGAGTTTAAATTCTGCACTTTTACCCCACGTAGTTAGAACTAGCAACATACTATTTAGGCAGGTTCTTCACTGGCAGGAGACACATAACATTCTGTATCAGCTCTATAGCAAAGGCTTATAACACCAGAGGTGGCTGAAAAGAGAGATTACCCTGGGTGGAGCGGGCAGGGAAGGCAGCTGGGCCAGGTCATGGAGGCCTCAGATACATGTCAGCGAATGCAGATTTTATTCTGTAGTTAGTAACATTAAGAGGTCTGTTTGTAACAGTGTCAATTTTTTTTTTTATTTTAAAGAGAGTAGTAAATGAGAAACAAACAAACACAAAAATAGGACAGTATCAGCATACCAGTATCATGAACATAAACAAATCAAAGCAAGAACATTCAAACTGATACAAGGTCTCCAGACAAAATGATACAAATCAACAGTGGCTGTTACATTACATATCGCTGCCCTCAACTACATTGCTCAGATTACCAGATGTAAGAATTAAAGATTGCTCAAACCATTGAAGAGAATAAGAAAATAATTCTTTGATAAAACATTAGAGATAATACAGAGTTTCACTAGACAAGATGGTAGGAGTTCACCATTGTAATTCCATTGCATATTGTTACCTTCAAATCAGTTGCTCAGGCCACCAGACACAAGCATGCAAAGTCGATCAGAGCATAAAAGATTGTGAGCATTAGCAGTTCATTTCAATACACCATCAGACATCAGCAATACAGTCATTGCAGCTATTCATATATATATCTTGCCTGCCTTCTTTCTTTTTTCTTCTTTCCCTCATCCCAGTTGTTCCTTCCTTTGAGCAATTTCTCTCCCTTGCCTGTCATCTCTTGTATGTATAACAGTGTCAATTATTTAAAGCAAAATCTGAAACAGTCTTCCTGAGACTACACTTTCACCTTTACAGTAGTGATTTGAAAATGTGTCCATTTGTAAATTTAGGGTTAGATGTGTTCTTACCCACAATTTTATTTGCAAGTTATCACAAGAAATGTAATATAAGAGATTCTCAGTGATTTTTTTTTTTTTTTTTTTTTTTTTTTTTTTTTGGTTTTTCTCCGGTACCGGGAACCGAACTCACGACCTTGCGCTTGCCAGGCAAGCGCTTTTGCCGCTGAGCTAAATCCCCAGCCCCTTCTCAGTGATTTTTATGTAACATAACTTGAGTAATATTTAGTCTGTTGCATCTTAAATTTTACATTCTAAGAATTTCACTATTAATTTTAATCTAAGCTTCATAGACCCAGCTCCTGTTGTTATGGCAGAAATTCCCGTTTGTCCCAAACATTCCACAAGAGACGCCAGTCACCAGTGAGAACAAAATCAGAGTTTAATTTGAGGCTAGCCACCCTCACTTCCTTTGCCAATCTGGAAGCGGGCCAATGGCTAACTTTGTTTCCCCTTATATACATTTTGGTTTCCATTGACAACAGATTGGGGTGTTACATTCGCTGACCCCAGTGGGCATATGGTGTTTCTCTCATCCTGTTGGACCCCAGGTCAGTTGCAGGTCGCATGTCAAACCATGATAGATGTTTTCCCCCCCCCAATATCTCCTTTTTTACAACCTATGCATTCCTTTAGGGTTACAATGTTTACCTAGGGCCAGGAGATGGCACTACCCAGGCGGGGTCATGGAGGGTCACCTAGGCCTAGGTGCCCCCTTATCTTGGGGAGACATTCCTGGGCAGTGTTGATCTGGGGAATTAGCTCTTGCACTGTCCCGGGAGGCTTCCCAAGGCACCATGCAGGCTTTTACCAAACTATTTTATCTAATATAGTATGCCAAGATTCAGTGCCCCCTACACTGTTACCAGATATGTTTCTTGCTCAAGTATCTATTCATTCCTCCTGGTTTCCTAATGTTCCCCTTTGTGCTCTTACTTTAACATATTTTCTCTCTGCAGAATGCCTAGCTTTTCTGCTCAAGCAGGGCCTGAGGCTTAAGTTTCTTTTCCTGTACATAGAATTCCTTCTTTTAATATTCATCTTAAAAATCCACTTCTCATAAAAACTATTCCCTTATTACAGAGTGAAACGCACAAAGTTGTATTTTTCTTTCTCTGACTGCCATGATCCTAACGTCATGCCACCAATTTCCCTACTGCAGAGTGTGGGGTGTTGTGCGTGTGGCAGAAAACTTCCAGAGCGCTCTTTGATTTCCTTTCATCTGTGTGGTAGGTTTCTCTGGGATCGTGCGCTGCAAACTCCACATTGTGTCCCCTGTTTCAGGGCACATTCAGCCTTTTAAAAATGAAAAGCCAGTCTTACGAACAGGGCAGTACAATTTAATACTTAGTGATTCCCATGTCTCTAACTTCTGTATTGTTACAATCGTCTATTTCTTGGGTTGCTTTTCTTTTCCAGTGAAAACTGTTGAGACAGACACAACGTGAAATACCCATTGGTCTTGCTGTCTTTACCTTCCGGCAGAAATCTAAAAGGAGTTTCTGGCATGTGTGGTGTTGCTTAGCAATTCACTCCAATAAATAGATTTCCCTCTCAATTTTTCCCCAGCCCTTATTTATTCAAGAACATTGTAAAATAAACTTTTACTCCTTGACATCTGAAATCATTAGAAGAAAGTTGGGTGTTTGGGGCTTTATAAGAACTGCTAACCAATGTAAAATTTACTTTATTTCATCTCTCAGGGCCGAGGATATAGCTTAGTGGCACAAGTGCCTGCCTGGCCAACACAAGGTCCTGAGTTGGATTCCTGGTACCAGAAAAAAAAGTAACTGCATTTCTATGTGACAAATACATAACGTTTCTCATTGACTTCCCTAATAAGGCAAGGCAAGGCTAGGATTTGCAGTGTTCTTTTTTGTGTCCAAGTTTTAGGCTTGGCTTGACCTGTGTGCCACTGTCTCTCCGGGGTCATCTCGGCATCATGACTTGCTTGCACTCTGGTCCTGATGACCTAACCTTAGCTTCCATCTCGAGAAGATCTGAGGTTAAATATGCCTGTTTTTCAGATCCCCCCGAGGAATGTGTGTTGAAGGCTAATGAAGGGATATTAAATTCATCAAACTTTTATCCGGTGTCCACTAGACTTCAGGAACCATGTTGGATTCTGGGGGGACAAAGATAAGACATGCTTCAAGGGGATCAAATCTTACATTCTATCTTTCAAGTAGACTACCTGGAAGCATCCTTATATCCTTCTTCTACCCTACACAAAAACATAGGAACCTTTCTAAGCTCAGACATCTCCTCTACTTGGAGTCTTCTTAAGCCACGATGCTGACCTCCATCCTGAATTTACTTGCTCCTGTGTATCTTCATCTCTACATGGACACCCCGTGTTAGGAGTATCTCTTCTTAGCTGTCTTCCTAAGTGTCATGTAGCTCTCGGTGAGTAGGGACCTTGGCCCAGCTGCTAAACAGGTCTCCTAGGGAAAATAGTACGAAAGCTTTCTTTGGGACCCATGCTCACTATCCTGAGTCTGTGTGTAACTCAGGTGTGGCTGACATCACCACCAGCTCCCAAGGAGAGCGTGTGGACCTCATGTGTGGCCAGTCGGGGCATGAGTCCCGTTGGCCTGTATGAATGATACCTAACAAAGCTGGGAATATAGCTCAGTGGCACAAATGCCTGCCTGGTAAGCACAAGGTCCTGAGTTTGATTCCTGGTACCAAAAAAAAAAAAAAAAAAAAAAAAGATACCTAACGGTGACTCTGGCATCCAGTTTTATTCAGTGAAAATCAGGCCAGAACTATTTTCCGGTTACTGGGAAAAAAGGAGCTTTTCTTCTCACTAGATTTAAATTTATAAAGATGTAGGTCCAGACAAGCTGGCAACCAAAATGTTGACATTCAAGTGAGAAAACAAAGCCAACTGTATATATACCACAAAGAACATATAATACGAAGACTAGAAGGATACTCAAAATTGAACTAATGTTTGGGTGGCCAGGTTCTTCAAGAACATTATAATACACATTTTTATCATGTACTAGCTCCTACATTGTTCACATGCCAGTATTATATCCATAATCTGTATCCTTGTTCAACTTCAAAAGAACTGTAAACAAGGTAAGGCCAAGTACAGAGCTCTCTGGACACCATGTAAGGCTTTTCTCTTCAGAATTCTAATTTATTCATCAACATCCTTTGGGTTTGGTTGTTAAAAGAACTTTGAATTCAACTGTATATTTACTAGCTCAGACTTTCTTCAAAGCTTATCAGAGTTCTTTTTCAAAGGCATCTTAATACCTGTATGAACAAGGCTTATAACATTCATGGATCTACCAGGCTTTGCAGAATACACGTTTTATGTTCACACCACATAATCTTAGATATGATTAGGATACAAAATTAGCAAGAAGTTTGTAATTAGCTTACTGTACACAGATAAAACATTTAACCAATAAGTGTTTTATAACACTCTTTTGGAAGGTGTTGGCTTTAGTTGTTTTTTTTTTTTTCTTTTGAGACAGGGTCTTGCTATGTAGTTTAGGCTGGACTGGACTTACTGTGTAGCCCAGGCTGGCCTTGAACTCATGGTGATCCTCCTGCCTCAGCTTCCCAAGTGCTGGGATTACAGGCTTGAGCCACCATATCCAGCTTTTGTGTTGTGTTTAAATATAAATTCTGGAGTCTAACAGCTAGAGATTCTTATTTATTGTATAGTGGGTAAATCCTAAGAATCTATATTATAAGACTGCAGAGCAAAGAGATGGGGGAAGACTGCTTTTTTTTTTTTGTTTTATTTTATTTTTTGGGTGTTTTTGTGTGTGTCTTTTTTGGAACAGGCTTTCACTATGCAGTTCAGGCTGGCCTTGTATTCACTTTGTAGTCCAGGCTGGCCTTGAACTTGAAAGGATCCTCCTACCTCAGCCTCCCAAGTGCTGGGCTTATAAGTGTACGCCACCATGTATGGCTGGAATGACTGTTTGATGACATTGACCCCTGAATCAATGCTAAATGGAGTTAGATCTGCTCTGGATTTCATAAGCCAAAACATTTCCTTTTGGTTAATTTATTTAGGCTACAGTTTCCGTCACTTGCAGAAGAAATTGTACTAGGTAGCATCTTCATAGAAGTGAGTTGTCTCAGTTACTCTCTCCCTGCTGGGGCAAAATATCTGACAGTCACAATTTAAAGGGAGGGGTTTATTTTGGCTCAGTTCAGTTCATGGCTCCGAGGCAGAGACAGAGGATGGCAGAGGGACACGGTGGAACAGAGGTGCTCAGCCCACAGCAGCCAGGAAGTAAGCAAGAAGGGAGGAGCCGGGGACCGCCCCAGGGCCACCTCCAGCCAGGCCCACCCCCAGCCAGCACCTTCCCCTTCTGAGCTCACCCGTGGGTGAAGCCACTGATGATTATAGTGCCCCATGATCCAATCACCTTTCCGCACACATGAAAATTGGGGGCGCATTTGAGATCTAAACTATGACATGCATCGTATAGACTGCTGGGCCTCATTAGTCATATGCATGATAGGCTCTGTCAACACATGGCTGGGCCCCTTGTCTGAGCTGACTGGGCTAAAGAAGGCCTTGCAGATGGCTGACTTGGACTTCCACTCTGCAAGTTTAGGAAGGTAGAGATATGAAGCGATATGAACTCTACTTTTGTTCTCAAACATCATTAAGTTGTAACTTTGAATCTCTGCTGTAAATAGCATTTCAAACAATGTTCTAAATTATATTTTTAACCGGGTGTGGTGGCGCATGCCTGTAATCCCAGCACTCGGAAGGCTGAGGCAAGAGGATTGCTGCAAGTTCGAGGCCAGCCTGAACAGCATAGTGAAATCCCTTTCTCAAAAAGACCAAAAAAATTATATTTTAATTCTCTTTACAGTAGTTTTTGAAGGTTATAACTGATAAAGTTCAATTTATGAATTTTTCTTTAGTGGATTATGGTTTTGATTAAGAACTCTGTGATTAACTTAATAAAAATACAAACACTTTCTCCATATTTTATTCTAAAAGGTTTGTTATTGTAGGTTATACATTGAGGTATATGCTCTGTTTTGAGATTTTTTTATTTTAAAGAGAAAAAAACAATAAAGACAATGATACAGAATTTTGAAACAAGGGGATAAGAAATTAACTATGGTTACTATATTGCATATTATCTTCAAAGTAGTTGCTCAAATTACAAGATATAGGCATGTAAAATTGATCAAACAATATAAGTACAAACTGTTGCCTTCAATGAACTAATAGAAATAAGTAGTATAATTATCTTAGCTAGCTTGTGTATATATATATATATATATATATATATATACTTTTCTTTTCCCTTTTTTCTTTTCCCCTTTCCCCTATCCCAGTTGTTCTTTCCTTTTGAGCAGTTTCTTTCCCTTTCACAATATCTATTGTAGATTTTGTATCTTATTTACTCTTTTACTTTCTTACACTAGGAAGACAAGACAGTGTTTACACATGTGAGTTTGATTTATTTCCCTTATGAATATGGTCTTTAGTTGTATCCATTTACCTATAAAAGACTCAAGTTTATCATTCTATATGGCTGAGTAGTACTGCATTGTGTAAAAATACCACATCTTTTTTATCTGTTCCTTGGTTGATGGGAATGTGGGTTGTTTCCAGGATTTAGCTATTACAAATTGTGTTGCTATAAACACGGGTGCACATATATTGCTGTGGTATGATGTTTTTAATTCTTCTGGGAAGATACTCAGAAAGGGAATAGCTGGATCAAATGGGATCTCCAATCCTGGTTTTCTGAGAAATAGCCACACTGATTTCCACAGTGATTGCAACAGTCTACACTCCCACCAACAGTGGAAAGGTTCCCTTTTCTCCACAGCTCCCCCAGCATTTGCTATGGATTGATTTCTGGATGATAACCATTCTTTCTGGGGTGAGACGGAATCTCAGTGTTGTTTTAATTTGCATTTCTCGAATGATGAATGATGTCAAACAGTTTTTCATATACTTATTTTCATATAATTTATTTCATATATTATTTCTACATGTGAGACATGTGTATTCATCTCAGATGCCCATTTTTGGATTGTAAATGCATGTTTAAATTAAGCAAAATTTTAAAAATAGGGTTTATTTTTTAAAGCACTTTTAGAGTCACAGGAGAATTAAGTGGAATGTACCATGATTTCCCATGTACTTTTTGTCCTCACACACATATAGCTCCCCACCATGAACAGGCCTCACTGAAGTGGTACATTTGTTATATAATTGATAAACCTAACTGACACAACATAATCAGTTTAGATTAGGGCTCACTCTTGGCATTGTATATTTTATGGGTGTGGACAAATTTACAGTTATTCTGCAGAGTAGCATCACTGCTCAGACATCTGTACTTTGCCCAGTCCTCTTTCCCTTCCTTCTGTCTCCTGGTAACCATTGATTTTTTTTTTTTTTTTTT